TTCTTATGAAGATACCAAAAAATGGCTTGATGAATGGATCGCTTCAAAAGAACCAGATTTTTTCATTCGAGGAATCGTTATTACCGGAAAAGTGGGAAAAAGTTGTCGCTTCCGAAGGAGCATACTTTGAATAAACTCACTTATATAGATTTGTTTAAATAAACACATCTTTTTCTTTTCAAAAAGGGCGGAAACTTATTCCCATACCTAATATATTTGATTCATTTCTAAAAATAAAGATTTATTTAATATTCGTACCGATGCTTTAATTACGGTTAATCTTATTGTCCATTAATAATTGCGTTTTAATTCCTTATTTAATTTGTATTTTATATTATTGTCTCTAATGGGAAAATTTTCATATGTATTATGTGTCTTGAAGCTGATGGAGGCAACTTTGAACACTTGCTTTAATATAGTTAAAGTCAGAGGCAAGGGGACTGACGGTAAACAAGCACCCCAATCGTGAGAGGCAAGGGGACTCATGGTAAACAAGCACCCCAATCGTGAGAGGCAAGGGGATTCACGGTAAACAAGCACCCCAATCGTGAGAGGCAAGGGGACTCACGGTAAACAAGCACCCCAATCGTGAGAGGCAAGGGGACTCACGGTAAACAAGCACCCCAATCGTGAGAGACAAGGGGACACACGGTAAAAAAGCACCCCAAAGAAAACAGAACTTACTACGTCCACGTCGTTGTTTCTGGGTAACGCTAAAAGTAAGATTAGCGAGGAAAGTAAGGTTTTTCATAAAAAAAATTAAAGTTTAAGTATCGCCGGCGCGTTGTCTAAGATATGCGCGCGCGCGCGCGCACACACACACACACACAAACGCGCGCGCACAAGACTCACTTTGATCAAGCATCTCGAAGAGGTGGATATCCGACCGTGCCACCTCCACGCAGTATACCTTAGATAACGCGCCGGCGATACTTAAACTTTAAAGGTTCGTAACTCAGGAAGATCTCAAGCAAAAAGAGTTTGTAACCAGTGTTTCGGAAACGTCTTGACATCAGCTTTAAGGATATGTAAAAAAAAATAGGTGTTTCTATTTAAGATTTCAAAGTTGACCTTCACGGTGTCCTTCAAGGTCATATGAAGGTCATTTCAACATAACCATATAATAGACCACTTGATATACTAAAACTTTTGTATTGAACATTTTTTTCCATAAGCATTATTTTCCAAGATATTTGACCGTTGCCGAACTTTCTCCCATCACTGTATATGTTTTTTATAGGATCTAACAAGTATATATGTATGTTATACAAAACTATATACAACTATATATATTAATATTTACATTAATTGAAAGAATCAGTATTAAATATTTCAATGGAATGTACGTGTCCTTTTTTTTGATATTAACGTGATCATGTGCTAACAACAAAACATATTAAGGGGATGCTAAACCGATTACCCAACTCAATCAAGGTCGATAGTACAGACTCTTTTAATTCCAAATTCGATAATAGTGGTGACATCTTTGATTTAGTTT